TGGCTGGCACCAGCAGAGGTTAGGAGAGAGACCCGGAACCAATTCTCTGCTGCAGAAGCTCCAGAAGGACTTGACCCTGGTGACTGACACCTGATTTCAGATTTCTGGCCTCCAGGGCTGTAAGAAAATGAATCCCTGTTACTTTAATCTACCCCATCTGTGGCACTTTGTCACAGCGGCCCTAGGAGGGCAACACAGTGCCAGGCGGCTTCTCTTAGTCATGAATTACATCGCAAGGGATGGATGAGCTAAAGAGAGAGCTGTTAAACTTCTTAGAATTTAGAGAAAATACTTCCAACCTAGAACTTATTAGGTTAAAAAGTGAAACATTTTTTTCATTTCTAGTCTCCCCAGCTTGCAAAAATTTCTCAGAGTAAGACAGGGCCTCTGGGCAAAGATCCCAGTCAGAGCCCCACCAGTGGAATGTATTCTCAGGGTGAGAGTGAGTTAAGGATGCGACTGTAGGACTTCTCAGTCAGACCACCAGAAGACGCGAAGCCATATCTCCTAGACCCTCCCGGCTGGACAAAAGGGCTTCTGAGGAGCTGGGGGACACTGTTGACAGCACCCTGTCTTGCTGCTGAAGCAGTGGAGCTTGCCCTGAAGAGAGCCCTGGGTATGAATCTAGTTTAATGGAGTTAGTTTATTATTTGATACATAGAAACCTACATGGTTTTTAAAGGAGCCGTACAAACTTGACCAAAAGAGACAGAGATTATTCAGAATGAGACAAGAACTCTGGGCTTCAAAATTTCTGGAGGCAGGAAGCAGGTCCAAAACCTGGGCCTTTCCTTTAGGAAGGGGAGGATGACTGGGGAGAGAGCCAGGAAGCTAGAGGGTGGGGTCAAGAGCCTCCGGGGACAGCCAGCCAGGAACACTGCCGAAGGGCTTGGACGGTCTCCAGTCTGGTCCGGGGGTGATCCTGCTCCAGTGCGCGCTGCTCTTGGCCATAATCACTGCACACCTTCTCTTCTCTTTCTTTAAAGAAGGCTGTATTTGGATTTTACCAGTTTTTCTACTAACATCTTCTTTCAGTTCCAGCAACCGGTTCAAGGTACCACATTGCACTTGGCCGTCTTATCTCCTTAGTTTCCTGGGGTCTGTGGCGGTTTCTCCGTCTCCTTTCCTCATGACCTGGACAGTTTTGAGGAGTACTGGCTGATTTTGTAGAATGTCTCTCAGCCGGGGTTTGTCTGGTGTTCTGTTGTGGTTGGCCTGGGCCTCTAGGTTTGGGGAGGAGACCACAGAGGTGACATGATCTTCCCGGGCCTCATGGCAGAGGCACATGATGTCCCTGTGACTGTCACTGGTGGTGTTAACCTCAGGCTCTTGGGTTAAGATGGTGTCTGCCATGTTTTTCTACTGTAAAGTTGCTATTTTTCCATACTCTACTCTTTGGACTACATGTTGCACAGGCATGTCTGGTTATTCAGGAATACAGTGTTTAATTTTCACATATTTGTAGGTTTTCCAACTTCCTTTCTGTTACTGATTTCTAATTCCTAATTTTTTGTTAATTCTAATTTGTGGTCAGAGAACATGCTCCGTATGATTTAAATCCTTCTAAGCTGACTGAGACTTGTTTTATGAACTAACATATAGTCTATTCTGGAGAATGTTCCATACACCCCTGAGAGCAATATATGTAACCCTGTTGCTGGATGGAGTGTTCTCTCAAAGTCTGTTAGATCTGGTTGGACTATCATGTCATTCAAATATTCAATTTCTTGTTGATTTTCTTGTCTAATTGTTTTATCTACTACGGTGAGCAGTGTACTAAAGTCTACAAATAATATAGCTGAATTATCCCTTTCTCTCTTCAATTCTGTTGGTTGTTAGCTGCATGTATTTTAGGACTCAGTTATTAAGTGCATATATGTTTAGAATAGTCATATATTATGTGGATTAACCCTTCAATTATAATGTCTCATTAGTGTACATTGTATGTGTAAGGAAACAGCTCATAGGTCTCTGCACTGAGAACCCACGCAGGGGGACTGCGGCTGAAGAGGGACACCCAAGGGACCTCGTCTGTACCTGGACCTGACTTAGATGCGAGGTTCTGGGCTTCAGGTCTGAGCCCGTGCTGAGCCCATGCTGAGACGGAGTATCCGTGGTCTTGGGAGGGGTTGTGGGGCAGACTGTGGCAGGCTGCTTACATTCAGAGCCCCTGTGGCCCTCCTGGTGTTCACGCACTTGGTATGCCCCTTCCACACTGACTCAGCTTGGCCGTATGACCTGCTGGGCTGTCGGGATATTAGTCGGGGGTGGTCCACTGGGGCTCTTCTTCCTGTAAAAGTCTCTTGAAAACCAGCAGCAAGACAGTCTGTTCGATGAGGAGACACCACTTGGAAAGAGGTGCTGGAGAATGGGGGTCAGTTTGGATATCTGGACCCAGCTGAGGTCCCAGCAGCCACATGAGCGCCTGGAGCCGTACGCGTGGAGAGGACCCACCCTGCCCAGCCCGACCCACAGGGTCATGAGAACAATCATTGCTGCTTCAAGCCCTGAGGTTGAGGCTGGTTGGTTTCACAGCAGCAGAGACAGGAAGCCCCTTGTCCTGCACCCCGCCTGTCTTCAGTGTCTGCCTTCCTAGTGTGTATCCCACTGTCCAAAATTACAGTCACTCCCTTGCCACCCACACTCTTACCATGTTTTTTGGGCCAAGCCTCACTCCTTGTTAGATGAAATGATCTGTCAACTTCATACCTGCATCCAAGCAGATAAGCTTTGCTAGAGAAAAATAGAAAACGACACTCACTCCCCATTCTTGGGTTGCTGCTCCACCTCTTCCCTGATGCTGTTCCCATAGGGATACCCCCACCCCAGGTAAGCCCCCATCTCCCTGGACATGGGAATCTCCCCTGTAGTTTTCCAGTCCCCATTCCTTTGCAGGCCTGTCCTCGGCCCACCGCTCTGTGTCAGGGCCGGGGCTCCCCCTGTGCTCTTCTCTGCCCACTGTATGCCAGGGGACATCAGTACCTTGGCCTGACATTCCTCTCATCGAAGGCTCCAGATCTGTGCTTCCTGCCCCTACCCCTTCTTCCCACTGCCTCCCTGCCTTCTCAAGATCTTCTGGACTCATAGGTCCTAAATCCTCAGTCTCTCTTCCCCGTGACCCCCAGAAGCCCTGACTCACCTTGAATTACTCCCTTTCCAGCCTGCATCCAGCCTGCGAGCAAATCCTGTGGCCTCAAAATGTGGCTCAGACTTGCCCACGATTCCCCCAAACCCACCCCCCCACAGGGTCCCGGCTGCGTTTCTGTCCCTGAACAGCGACTGCAGCCTCTTGGCCTTTGTCCACTCCCTCCCCAGGTCACAGTGCGTCTCTGCCCAGACCTCCCAGTGGTCTCCTGCTCTTCCCACGGAAGAGAACCTTACAGCTTCTGTCTCCCCCTTGTCTTCTCTGCCACCGCCAGGCAGGCAAGTCTCCTGCAGCTTCTCAGGCACATCCATCTTGGTCTGCTCCGTGCCCCCCACACTTCCTGTCCCCCTGCCCAGAATGACCATCTGACCCCACCTCCTTGTGTCAGCTCAAATGCTGCATCTCCCCAGGCCTAGCTAGAGGGACCCCAGCCCACCTCCAAGCCGCTGTGGCAGTGTGAGGAGGGGCAATCTGTGTCTCCCTTACACTGTACTGACAGCTTCAGGACAGGGACTTTGCCGGCCTGAGTGAAACTTAACCCCCAACTCAAAGCTTTGCCAACCAATCTGAGTAGCCTCCTGGGACTCCAGGGGCTGGCAGGCCCTTCTAGCCCCTGTCCGAAACTCGCAGGCAGCTTAGGCACCCCAAGCCTGGCTCAGCCACAAGGCACTAATCCAGCCAGCCTAGTCCCATGGCCCACACCCCACACTGCTCACCTCCCTCCACTACGTAGTCCTCCAACCTGTCCCAACTCTGCCACCGCCAGATTCTGCTCACCTTCTCAAGCCTATTCCCCTGGTAGAGCCTGGGCACTGCCACTCTGGGGACAACTTGGGCCCCATCTTCTGGGGAGCAAGGGTTCCCTGCATTTGTGCCATGAATGACAATTGTACCCTGAGATTGCTTAAAGCAACTCCAGCAGCCTGTGGGCCCTGATCCAGAGACAGGCGATAATGCTGGTGTGGTCACTGGGACTGGCCAGCCTTGGGATCGGGAGATGACCAGTGGGTGGCTCTGAGCCATGGTTTCCAGCAGGCCCAGCTTCATGGCATGACTGGGGTGGTCACACAGGGCCCCAAGCTCAGAAGGGCCCTCACTTGGTTGAATGCCCGATTATCACCATCTGGAAATTTCAAATAACTCTTAAAGAAGGGGTTCTGTATTGTCATTTTGCATGGGACCCTGCTAATAATGCAGCTGGTCCTGGTTCCAGGGACATTCAGCTAACAAAATGCCCTAAAGCCTGGGTCATTAGCATGGCCCAGAGGGAAAATGCTGACTGGAAGAGCCAGGTGCACAGTGCCAGGCACCACTCCCGGGTCCCCATGGCCCACTGCCTTCTCTGCTCACACTGCAACTCCCAGCACCCAGGAGATGAGGACGCTCACAGAAGAGGACAGAACAGGACTGGGGTTCCAGCAGGCACGCAGAGCAAGCTCGAGAGTCCCCCCAGAGGTCCTTGAGCTCCCTGGGAGCTCTGCAGCAGCAGCTTTGGGGAGAGTCTGATCGGGACGCACCCCCCAGTACAGGGCTTGACCTGAGGCTGCCCTGCATCTGACTGGTGCAGGACCAGGAACAGGCACCCGAGCCAGACGGGGCCAGATTCGGGTTCCTGGATTCCACTCACTGGTCAGCACTTCCTAGGCCAGGTGAGCAGCTGCTGACCAAGACAGGCAGTTTGTGCTCCACGTGTCCCGTGATGGAGCCACCCTCCTAGAGGCCTGGCTGCTTGTTACCCTCGCTCCTACTGCTACCCCCAATCTTCTACCCCAAACTCCCAGGTTAGCTCCCTGAGGCCCTGGGAAGTGTGCCCTGCGGAGCGCGCTCCTCCCACCCCCAGGAATCTACCCGTCTGGGAGCAACAAGCAGCTTTATTGAGAGGCAGGCCAGTGGTCAGGGGTGGGTGGAAGGAAGATGGAGGGTAAGGGAGAGTGCTGGCCTCGGCTGAGGTGCCGGTCCCGGGGTCACACGTCCAGGTCGGACTGAGAGCCCGGCTCGCCGTAGGCGCGGGTCTTGCGCAGCACGATGCCCGGGCTGAAGGCGGCCCCCGGCGGCCGGTGGCGGACCACATGCCGGTACGACGCGGCCTGGCAGTCGAAGTAGTTAATGTTGAGCTTCCGGGCGATCTGACGGCCCAAGTATTCCATTTGCTTTGGGAACGGCTGCAATCAGTTGTCGCCTGGACAGGCCTCCCGTCCCCGTGCCAGACCCGCAAGTCAGGCCCTGCGTGAAAGCCCGAGACCTGGACCGCGAGCATCGCCCACTGCCTGCGAGATGGCCGCACCCCAGGACCCTTTGAACCAAGGAGGGGTGGGGAGCGCGTCTGGGTCTCCGGGGCCGGACCCACCTCGTAGCGCTCTGACAGGTGTACCAGCACCAGAGGCTCCAGTTTGTGGCCAGACAGAACCAGCTGGAAGAAGCACTTTCCGTACGCTGGCGACAGGCGTGCGACTCAGGCGGGGGTCCCGGGGCGGGGCCAGGGTCGGACGGGACCAGGGACGGGGAACTCCGGGCGCGGGGCTGGGCAGTGCCGGTCTCTCCCCGCTCCCGAGTGGCCTCCCCAGCACAACCCCGGGGGTCGGCAGCCCGCCCCGGTCGTCACCGTCGGAGCTGAGCGCCAGGCGCACGTAGACCAGGTGCAGGGGGCCCCGACACACGGTGCGGCCCTGGATGGAGAAGTGGTACATGCCGCGCGTGTGGTTCAGCACCAGGCGGCGCCGCGGCAGCGACGAGATCACGAGCCACAGGCCCACGCCCATGCCGTACGCGGGGAACGCCCATGTCTCCTGCTTGTGCACCTGCGGGCGCCGCGGGCACCTTCTGAGCGGCGGCGCGGCCGGGGTCGGGACCTTGACGGCGGGTCGGGTCCCCAGGGGAGGAGGGCCGTGGGGGGCGGGCCCAGAAACCCAGACCTGGCTCACGAGGCCGAGGCTGACGAGGAAGAGGCAGGCGACGAAGAGCAGCGTCCCCTTCCACAGCGTGTCCAGGTAGTACTCGAGCACGAAGACTGGGGGCGGCGCGCCGGAGACGCGTGAGGACCGCCGGCCCCACTCGCCGCCCGGGTGGGCAGGGCTCGGGCTTGGCCGGAGCGGCCCGGCCCGCTTTCCCGCCCGGCCCCGCCCCCGCCCCCGCCCCGGCCCCGGCCGGCCCGCCTCGTTCAGGGCCCCGGCACCTGCGGCGCTTCGCGCGCACCTTGAGGCTGCTGCTGCGTGAATGGGTAGGAGCTGTTGCTCCTGAGGCGCTTGGCCAGGTGACGCTCGGTGCAGAGGAGCCCTGGGGCCCAGAGCTGGAAGCCGCCGGAGGTCATGGGCAGGCTGCCGATCCCGCCCTTGGGGGCCCGATCAGGCGCAGGCGGTCAGCTGGGTCTCTGATGTCACCGCCCACTGCCCAGAGTTGCGGTCGTACTTGAGATACGAAGCCTCCAGGGTTGCGGTCCAAGAAGGAGCAGGAGCTTCGGGGGACCGCGCCCACGTTCTAGAAGCTCTGTGCGGGAGCGGGGGGGTTGGTTCTGGAAGGCGCCGTTCTGTTGACTACCCTTCTCTGGGGACGCCCCTGGCCCGGTGAGCGTGCACTTCCTGGCCAGTACCACCCCACTGGAGATCTCCTGTGGGGCCTGGTTCCTAGTCCTTGCCTGAAAGGTGGGGTGGCGGGACCCCCAGGTCTAAGCTGGGGAGAAAGCTGTCATGCAGGCACCCCACACCAAACCCCGTGACCGAGCAGGGCCTCCCTATCGCACCTCTGACCCGGCCAGAGCCTTATGTGCAGCATGGACAGCTCACCTGTGTTCCCGGGTGTGGGGCAAGCCGTGAGCAGGAAAGGCGAAGGGCAACTCGGGAGCTCTCGGGGGCCACCCTCACCCCCATGGAGGCTCTGGGCCAGCTCCAGCCCTGGATGGCACTATCAGGTACAATCCCTGTCCCCTCACCCCAACCCCAAGGACCACACAGTTCTTAAAAAAACGTTTTATTGTACCAAAATGTTCAAACATCCAAAACTGGGTAAGGGGGCAGGGCTGGCTGGCTGAGGGGTCTGGGGCATACACCACCTAGCTGGGGCAGGGGAGGCTGGTGAGCAGCTGTTCCAGGCACCACTGGACTTCGTTCTGGCCACGGTAGGCCCGCTTCAGGCCCCGGGGAAGGCAGCGGCAGGATTCCAGGTTGAGGTACAGCAGGCCTGGGCAGCTGCTGACCACAGAGCTGTGGGGGCAGGGCAGGCCATGAGGAGTTGAGCCACTGGATCCCAAAAGACACAGGCCTCCTCAAGGCTGAGCCAGGTGAGGGAACTCGCCAGGTGCTGTGACTGGCTCTGCCACCCAGAGCCACTGAGGCCCAAGCCCAGTACCCTTCCTCTCTCCAAAACCAATCCCAACGGTATGCACTCCCCTTTCAGAGCCAGGAAGTTGGAGAGCCAGGCAGGACAAGGACGCAAGCCCTACTGGCTCCAGGGGACTGGGGAAGTGGTGCTGACCTGACCGTGCTTGGTGTAACCCGGGTGCCCCTGAGGTTGAGTGAGCACAGGGCTGAGTGTGAGCCCCCAGGGGTGCCTGAGAAGGCAGCGAGGGCCTGTTCCAGGTCCTTCTCGATGAAGCCCTGACCACTCAAGTCCAGTTCCCGCAGAGTGTGGCACCACTTCCAGGTCAACAGGGGACTGCCCTCTTTGGAGAGAGTCAGCCGGTCTGACGTGCCATAGAGGCCCAGGTGAAGCTGCTCCAGCTCTGGAGGTGAGAGGAGCAAGCATGAGCTGTAGGGTGGGCCAGGGTCCCCACATCCCACCTGCCCAGCCACCACTCAGGGAGAGCTAACCCTGACATGGCAGATCATGCAGGACAGCAGGAGTGATGCGAGCACAGCCGCGAAGATCCAGCAGGCGCAGGTTAGGAGAGCCGTGGAGCAGGCGGCCCAGGGTCTCATTGCTCACAAAGTTGCAGGTGGAACTGGCAAGGCAGAGCTCCTCGAGGCTGGGGAAGCCTGGGCCAGGGGTCACCACTCGCCCAGAAGGCTTGGGCAGCCACATCAGGTTCAGTAGTCGCAGTACCTGGGAACAAAGCCCAGGCTGCAGATGGGGAAGGGAGTGACAGGTGGGCAAGGTGGGGCGTCTGATACCTGCAGCTGGGGACAGCCTTTCTGCAGAGCCTCTACAGGCAACTGAAGGGGCGTGCTGTTTCGGCTGATACCAGTGCTCACCTCCAGGACCTGGAGCTGGGGGCAGCAGCTGCCCTGCAGAGGTGGGGTGAACACAGAGTCAATGGCCTGGCAGTCACTGGCTCGGCATCCAGCTCTGATCTTGCCTGTCACCAACCTACCAGCAGTGTACCCAAGATGGCTGTTGTCTGGGAGCTGTAGGTCAGCCACAGCTTGCGCATTCGGGGCCCCACCTCCTCCAAGAAGCTCACCACAGCTGTGGACTCCACCTGGGGACCCAGCACAAGGGCACCTGTCGTCTCGGCCCAAGCTTCTTCAGGGCTCCCGGGGACGCAGGGCTCACCATGGAGTGCTGTAGATCCAGGCTGTGAAGCTGGGGGCAGGCTTTGGCTAGCATGACCAGAGTGTCAGGGGTCACACCGTGGCAACTGGAAAGCTTGAGGAAGGTAAGCCGAGGACAGGACTCGCTGACCAGCTGTGGACGACAGAGGGCCAGCAAGGGTTCTAAGAGGGCCAGCTGCGGTCCACAGGGAAGAAAGCCGATGGCCGGCCCCATCCTCGCTGTGCTGCCTCAGTTACACCCTTTCCACCCACGCCAGGCCTTCCCGGGTGCTCCCGCCTGATACTTCCCTGCTGTCGGAGACGACAGAAAAAGAGAACCGGGCAGGCACCCCCATGGGGCAGCGCTGGGCTCCATGGCACCTGGCCCGCTCCCTGGAAGTACTGGGCGACCCGAGTGTCATGGCTGGTGTGCAGGGCAGCCGTGAGCTCTCACCTTCAACACGGGCTGTACCTGGGACTTCCAGTGGGTCAGGGTCAGCCTCTGGAGCTGTGAGAACCTGGGCCGACAGACAGCAGAGGCGAAGCTGCACAGTGGTCCCACGCTGCCCCCTCGGTCAGTGTCCTCCCCACCCATCGCTTAGGCTCAGGGAGACAGGAAGGGGCCCTTGGCCATCCACACACCACATGGATGGAGTGAGGGGATAAGGAAGAGGGTCCTTACCGATTGGGTATAAACCACGCCAGGGACGCAAGGAGGTTCTTCTCCGCCTTGGCCCCTCCCTTGGGGGGTCGGCCAGCCAGCGGGGGCGACAGGGTCACTGTGTGCCAGAGGGTGGGCTGGGAGGCGGCCTCGCGCCAGCGGCGGCACACGCGCGCGGCCCTGGGAGAAAAACCTCTGCTGAGGGGTCAGGCCTTTCGTGGCGGGTGCCCTGCCACCGGCCGCTGCTATGGGGCCCTCTAAGAGGACGGACCTGCGTCCGCAAGTCTCACAACGCTGCGGACACCTTTCCCAAAGGCGGGCCTCTGGGGCACCAACTGGACCCTCAGGGCCTGAGCTCTCCCGCTAGCGGGTGTGCGCGCTCAGACGTTTTCGCCCTCTGCTCCCGCCTCGGCCAGCCGTGGGCAACAGGTCAGTCGGCCTGAGCCACGCCGCGGCGTCTGATGGGCCTGGGGTACCTGCCGAGGAAGGGCATGGGCCCATCGGCCGCCACTAGCAGACCGAAAATTTGCAGCAGGATTTCCAAGGGGATGCGGTCGCCCCAGCCGGGGTCGCGCTCCTTCTGAGGCGCAGGCGCGGGCCTGGTCTTGGCCGCCGCTGCGCGGGGCCCGGGGCGCAGCGGCCGCTGAGCGCGGCGGGCGACGCGCCTCTGCGCGCGGGTGCGGACCGGTCCCGGGCCGGGCAGCACGAGCAGCGCGCTGTCCGAATGCAGCAGGTGGTACCCTGAGCCGCTGGGCGCCAGCCGGTCCCACCACCAGTCCTCGGCCGACCGGGCCCACGCCCCGGGCGGCGACGTGCCTCGGAACCTGCGGCCGGCCCGCCGGGTTGCGCCGGGAGCCATGGCCGACTGCTCGCGGCGGGGGCCGCCCCGGCGGAGCGGAAGGGGCGGTGCCGGCGGCGGAAGGGGCGGGACCTCCCCTCCCCCACCGCGTCGGCCCCGCGCTCGCCTCCAGGGGCGGGGCTTCTGGCGGCGGGCCTTGTGGTGGGCGGCCCCGCGCCCCACTTCCCCGAGCGGGCTGGTGAGTTGGAGTGCCCGCTGCGGCGCGGCAGCGATCTCATGCCCCTCCGGCGCTGGGCTGGGCCGGACGCGGTGCCCTCAGTCGGGGAGGGGCGGGTGCTGGGCCGGGAACCCCGGGAGGCCCGTCGCCGCCCCCCTGACGCACGAGGGGCGGTGCCGGGGCTGCCCCTCCAGCCAGTGCCCGGCTGGGCTCTGACCGACGGTCCTGCTTCTCGCTGAAGTCTCGGACTCCCAGGTGGGCGCAGCAGCCTCAGAAGTGTGCGAGGCCCATGAGAGGTGCCCCTGTCCCGGGGTCCGTGTCCCTGTGTCTGTTTTGGGGTGAGGGTGGTGCTGGTCTCGGCAACTCAGGCCCGAAGAGCCGAACCCTCTTGCAGCATCCTCCCCCGGAGCCGGGGCGCCTGCTTCTCCGACTGCTGGCCTGGCTGTGCTTCTGGGTATGCTGCTGGCCCCCCATCCCACGGCACCCTCCGTGTCCCTGGTCTTGGCAAGCTGGCCGTCTTCTGGCTCCACTTCCGTGTCCTTTCCTCGTGATCCCGCATGTCTATCTGTTCAAGCTAGAAGAGGTCTTCAGATCCCAGAAGACGGCAAGTGTCTTCTGCACATTTAGGTGGCGATAAAGGAGCTGTCGGTGGCCTTCGCCCCGTCCTGAGGGGCCCAGTCTTGGGCTGAATGGCAGCACCCCCGTTGGGCTGTCTGGTGCTGACCCACGTGCTGGTCGCTCTCTTTGGCATGGGCTCGTGGGCTGCCATCAACGGGATCTGGGTACAGCTGCCAGTGGTGGTGAAGGACCTTCCCGAGGGTGAGTGGGAGTGTGCAGGGAGGCGGGGCAGGTAGGCCCAGAAGGTGAGCTGCAGCTGCAGTTTGTCCCCTGCATCCTGCCCCTGACGTGGTCTCTTCCCTTCCCCACAGGCTGGAGTCTCCCCTCGTACCTCACTGTGCTTGTGGCACTGGGCAACCTGGGTCTGCTGGTGGTGACCCTGTGGAGGCGCCTGGCTCCGGGCAAGGGCGAGCGGGCCCCCATTCAGGTGGTACAGGCGCTGAGTGTGTTGGGCACAGCCCTGCTGGCCCTGCTGTGGCACCGTGTGGCCCCCGTGGCAGGGCAGCCTCACTCTGTGGCCTTCCTAGTGCTTGCCTTGGTGCTGGCGCTGGCCAGCTGTGTTTCGAATGTCACTTTCCTCCCCTTCCTGAGCCACCTGCCACCTCCCTTCCTGAGGTCCTTTTTTCTGGGCCAGGGCCTCAGCGCCCTGCTGCCCTGTGTGCTGGCCCTGGTGCAGGGCGTGGGCCGCCTCGAGTGCCCACCAGCCCCCACCAGTGGCCCCCCCGGGCCCCCCCATGACTTCCCAGAACGTTTTCCTGCCAGCACCTTCTTCTGGGCACTGACCGCCCTTCTGGTAACTTCAGCAGCCGCCTTCCAGGGTCTCTTGCTTTTGCCATCACCACCGTCCTTACCCGCGTCGAGCCCAGGGCCTGGCCCGCGGCCAGGAGCCCCAGGAGTGGAGGAGGAGGAGGAAGAGGCCTTGCCACTGCAGGAGCCGCCTAGCCAGGCAGCAGATGCCACCCCTGGCCCAGACCCTGGGGTCCATCGGCTCCTCTCCGCCCACAGTGTCGGCCTGCTGGGCCTGCTGGCCATCACCAATGCACTGACCAATGGCGTGTTGCCTGCTGTGCAGAGCTTTTCCTGCCTGCCCTACGGGCGCCTGGCCTACCACTTGGCCGTGGTGCTGGGCAGCGCTGCCAACCCCCTCGCCTGCTTCCTGGCCATGGGCGTACTGTGCAGGTGCACAAAGGATCCCAGGCCACTTGAGGGGTGGGACTTAGGGATGGGGGCCAGGCCCTGGTACAGCCAGCCCTGAGCTCCTGCTCCCCCCTCACAGGTCTTTGGCAGGACTGGTCAGTCTCTCTGTGCTGGGTATTCTCTTTGGGGCCTACCTGATAGCACTGGCAATCCTGAGCCCCTGCCCACCCTTGGTGGGTACCACTGTAGGCGTGGTCCTTGTGGTAAGTGCCCTGGGAACACTGGAGGAAAGAGTGGCAGTTGCAGGGTGGGGCTTGCCCTAGAGCAGGGGGCATCTCATGCTCAGCCAGCTGTTATGTCCACTCTTCCAGGTGCTGTCATGGGTGCTGTGTCTGGGTGTGTTTTCATATGTAAAGGTGGCCGCCAGCTCCCTTCTGCATGGTGGGGGCCGGCCAGCATTGCTGGCAGCTGGTGTGGCTATCCAGGTGGGCTCCCTGCTTGGGGCTGTCGCCATGTTCCCTCCCACCAGCATCTATCATGTGTTCCGCAGTGGGAAGGACTGTGTGGATCCATGTGGCCCCTAAGCCTGGGCAGGTGAGGGCAGGGTGAGGTCCCCACCTCAGGCTGGGGCTGCCACACAGCCCCCAGGCCCGAGGCCCAGGGAGGCCCTCCGCACGCACAGGTACACTCATGGACACCTGCACACTCCACAGAGGCCCTGGCACTCAGGCCAGGTGGGGACCAGAGCCAGGGCCTGGCTGGGGCTGTGGACTTGACCCTTGCCCCGGAACCTATGTGGGATTTGCAAAATAAAGCAGTTTTATTCCATGAGTCGGAGTTGTTAATCCTGGAAGTACATTACCCTGTATAGATAGACCTCCCTTGAGTTGGATTGGTGGCCTCCAGTGGGGACCTGCCACCCCTAGGCTGCTCTCATAGACCCTGGTGTTATTCCATGAGTCCAGGACTCCTGCCCCCACTTATTGCTTCTTCCTCTAGAGAATGGCTGGAGTCTGGGCCAAGGACCCCACAGACTGCCATGGCCAGAGACAGCATGGTGTCTGTCCAACGGCAGCCTGTCCAGGATCACCAGCTGATGGCGGGGCCTCCTCCCCGCAGGGTCACTGCCCCACAAGCACCCCAAGGCCGTGTGGTGGGCTGAGTCAGCTGGGCGTGAGGGTCAGGCAGGACAGGCTGTCTTGTGGGTGGGTACTGCCAGGGGATTTACACCAGGGCCTTGTTGCAAGATCTGGGCACAGAAGATGCTCAGCAAGTGGGACTCTGAAGAGGCTCGGGGGTAGGTTTCCAGGAAGTCTCAGGAACCTTCTGCTCAAGAGTGTTCCCCACTCCCCAGAGCCACCAGCGTCTACTTTGCAGCTCCTTCCACAATCAAAGGCCCCAACCCTTTATTCAGGCAGACGTGGTAGCAGCTGCCTTTTCTTTGGGCTGCTGGCTGACGGCTGGGGGCCTTGGGAAGACCATGCCTGCCCCGACCCCGGGGCAGCAGTCAGGGCCTCTGTGGGGAGCAGGGCCTCAGAACCAACCACGGCCTGTCTGGCTCTCGTGCTTCAAGGCCTGGAGGACCAGAATGAGTGCCTGAGCCAGGCAGGTGGGCTGGGAGGACTTGAGCAAATTATTCAGTTGGAGACTGCAGTGGGCTGGGGCTTCCACCACATCTTGGCCTCCTGGGTCCCCAGGGGAGGCAGGGCACCTAAGCTGTGGTTCAGTGTGACTGGCCTGTCACCATGACCCTTTTCTCAGACAAGAGGCCCTGCCTCTGCAGGGGGCCCTGTCCGCAGAGACCAGGGGGTGTGGGTGCTGAGAGAAGTGGCTTCTGCCCCACTGCCAGTCCCTTCCTGGCATTGTTCTGGTCTCCAGATGCCTTTTTTGAACTTCAGAAGTTGCCTGTCCTTGATTTGGCCTGCATGTGGGCCTTTGAAGGCCTTGTCTTCCTCCCCCTTCATCCTCCCGCCTTGGCAGGACCAGCTGAGCAGGAAGGAGCTCCCGACGACAGGGAAGGAATGCAGGCCTTGATCACGGTGCCTCTGGTCTGGGCCTCCATCAAGCATCCAATGGGCCATGGTCCCAACTGGCTTGGACACAGCCCAGCTCTGAGGACGGGAAGCCACCTGCCATACCCTAGCTTCCCAGGGTGCTGACTGGGGGGTGGGGTTTGGAGCCCAGGGGCTGCTGGACTTGGTTGCCTGCCTTTTGGGGTTGGTGGCTGCTCTTGGTGGTGGTGAGTGGAGAGATTCAGGGGGCAAGGAATAGGGGTGGGGTGCGTGGTGTGGCATGGGCTTCATGCCTTCCCCCCACTTTGACATTCATCCGCCATTGGCATCCTCCACCAGGCCCACCTTAAGGTGCAGCTGGTAGAGCCACGTCCCAGGTCCCACCTGCCGCCCCCTCTTCCAACAGGTGATGCCGGGAGGCATCATAGACCCTCTGCTCTGCCCCGTGTGTGTGTGTGTGTGTCAGGTATGCCAGGCCTGAGGGCCACAGAGGAGCAAGGGGGCACATGGCCCGGAGCCCAGGGTAGGGGGCCAGGGCAGGAGGGGGGCGCTCTGAGGAAGCCACTGCCCTTTGAACTCACCAGGAACTTCCTATCAGTGCCCCGCAGGAAGCAAGGCCAGGCAAGATGACAAGGGGAGGAAGAAGCTCAGGCCAAGTCCTGGAGAGCTGCCCACCCGGCACACCCTCCCTCGAGGCTGAGGCCAGTCGCCAGGCCCTGGGCACTCCTCAGGAGGTAGGCAGCCCACCACACCAGGCCCCTCAGAGCTGAGCCTGCTCCTGTACCTTGTCAGGGCTGTTAAGAGGCTCACAGCCTTGCCCAAGGGTCTCAGATCTGGTGCTGGGAGAATTTGAAGGAAACCCCAAAAGTGAGGCAGTGGTCAAATCAGGGCCTAGGCCACCTGGCTGTCCCCAGCAGGCAGTCCCGTGGGTGAGAGTAAGCTTGAGCCACAAGGCCCACCACCAGGAGCTGGCACTCCAGTGCCTCAAAACCAGAGAAAGGCTAGCCAGGGTGTGCCATGTGGCATTTCCCAGGTGTGTGGCTACTTCCCTGAGCCAGAGCACAAGTCTGAGTGCTGGGACAAGGCTCACCTGGCTGTGGCTGAATGGCAAGGTAGAGGCTTCACTTTCCTTCAGTCCTGGGGTTCTCAGCCCTGCAGAGTCTGAAGGCTGGTGTGCGTTCAGTGTGGCCGAAGGCATGGTGACACCCGGTAAAAGAATGGTGTCCCTCTCCAACTGCACCTGCTCAGAGCACCCCCTGCCTGGCCTGGGAGCACAGGACAGTGGTCCTTTAGGGGCCCCCTCCTCTCCATTTGAGCAGACCTTCTAGCTTCTCTGACACCAGAAAATGGGGGTGGGAACAGCAGGCCCCAAGCCAGGGATGGATGCAGGTCATCAGTGACCCCCACGTCAGCCACCTGGGCCATGCCCACCCTTAGAGCACCTGCTGCCAACCTCCATGGGGCCACCTAGGCATCCCCCACCCCAAGCACTGGCCTCGTTCTTTCCACTGTGCCTTCCAGGGGGCTTGAATGCCACTAGTGCTGTGGTGGGGTGTTCATTCTAGGAGTCCCTGTCCCCTCTCTGGGACCGGGGTGGTGACCCAGGTGATCCAGTCATGGTTTCCATCTTCCTGCCCGTGGTGACTGAACTGGGGAGCAATGCCTGTGTGGGGCAAATCAGGGGCCACCATGATATCCATTTGGGGGTATCGGCCATCCCAAGAGCTATAAACACCACCCTGACTGTTCAGGAGCACCCGAGAGTGAGGGCACCCAGAGGCAAGCAGAACAAGAGGTGGAGAGAGGCAGAGCCCTGACAACATCTTAGGGTCCCCCAGACCCAGCTGCGTCTGAAGCTAGACCCCGGGGACTTCCAAGTTCTGTGGGCCCACAACCCCTTGCTTGTTTAAGCAAAGGTAAGTTGGTTTCTGTCTGTCGCAGCTGAGGGAGTGGTGAGGACCTCTCTCATCCCCTCCCAGAAGTACCTGTGACAGCTCATGCCTTTGGACACAGGCCACTGGTCCATCTTCCCCTTCCTGGGGGAGAGTCAGTCATTCTCTTGGTGACTATCTGTCACACACCCTGTGACCCCTCTCTTCCTAGATTCCACCTCTAGATCCTTAGCAGGTGCTCCCCCAATGGCTCCTGAGCCGCAGGGAGAGTTCTCTGGGTGTCTGACCCCCCAGAAGAACAGAGAGCCAAGCCAGGTGGAAGCAGGCAGCACCATCCTCAGCTGACCAGCCAGACAGGGCCCTTGGGGTGTGTCGGGAGCCGGTCCGAACCGCCAGCCTGATGACACAGTGCGGGCAGTCGGAGGGCAGGGGCTGCACTGTGGCCTTCCCAGGGGAGCACCCCGACACCCCTCCTGCTCAAAATGCCCCTCCTAATAAATGTGCTTATTTCGGTTTCAATTCAAGCTGCCCTTTCAGGGAAGAGGCCATATCCAATTCCCCCTGAAAATTTTAGATACTGGCCCTAAAGGAAACTGGAAAAAACCACCACTGCCCTTGTGACCACCCCCGATGATGGGAGAGTGAGACCCCATGAGAACTGGACCCAAGTTTATGGGGGGAAAAGATACGGAAAATTTACCTGGGTTGAGGTTCCTTCCCCCGCCACTACATGGCCTCCAAATAATGTACTCAATGATTAATGGCAACAGGTGGGTACAGAGAACAAATGCTATTCTTTGGCTAGCCCGCCAAAGAACAACCTGGCAAACTGTAAAACAAATGAGAACGGGGCATTACCTAACTCCAGATCAGAAAAATCTCCACTGTAAGTCTTACTGAAAAACGGGTCCAAGGCGCAGTCCATAAAATTTGTCCCTGCCCGCCAAAAGGTCATCATGTCCTTTTAGAGACAGCCTCTTTTTTTCCTACCAGAGATGAAGAATGGGAGTATAACTATGAAAGAATGAGGGCCCTACATAAAAACAATAGAATAGTGAGCTTTAGACAGTCATCTGTAAGGAAACCAAGAGTCTGGCACCTACCTGACCTTTGTGAGATTTTCTGTGGCCACAATAACTAAAAACCAAGCTTACTTAGAGACAAGTTAACAGCTAAGACCTGCCAAACGATGTAATCTCATTCTCCAAACTCATGTAACCGTGCTATGTGTCAATTAAATGATTCATATCTGTACTTTATGTAATCAAAGAGTATAAAACAAGCTGCTACTTGTCATTAGAGGCCAGGCTCAGCTTTGGCCAGTGTCCGTGTGCTCACTCATCTGTTCAGTTGCCGACACCGTCCATCCTTCAGGGACTCCTGGACTCCCTGGAGCTGGACTCCGGCAGAGGTGCTCTCAGGGGGAGTCCAGGGGTCCCCAAGGGGCGGGGGCTCAGGACAAGCTGCAGTCGAGGAGCCGGGCAGCTGTCCCGTGGAGTCCTTGGTGTGAACGGGGCTGGGCCGCCGTGTCAAGTGGTGGCCTGGCTGGCTGGGTGGCTCTTCTAAGAGGTGGTGGTATGGGGCCTGGTCCAGGGCTTTCAGCACGACGAACATCAAGTTTCTCTATTCTTCTGAATCAAGAGCCACCGTCTTCCTCCCCAGCCCACCCGCCGAGCCAGAAGTCAGCCCAGCTCAGCCACCACTGGACACCCCCCTCGTCCCCCCATCTCCTTGGATTTACTAGAGGCCCAAGGGCTCTGGGTGGGTGGGGTGGGAGGTGGTCTTGGGAGGTGCAGTTGCCGTCAGAACTGGGACCAGTTAAGTGGAGAGTCTGAGGGTCAGGAGACCCAGGAACCCGGAGGGACTGGGGCCTAAGGACTGGCGGGATGAGCGGTGCAGGTCCTGGAGTAAGTGGAGACGGGCGTGG